GAAGCTGCCAGTTCCCAGTTCCCTTAGCTGCAGCCTTCTGAGTCATCTGAATAGTTTCCATGGAGAAATGTTCAAGCTTAATTTGAAATTTGATGCTCTACTCACTTGTTGCTCTACTTAACTCAGTCATTTTGTTGGCAGGCTGGCACTCAATCCACTGAGCCACAGCAGGCAGGGCTTCGCTCCATCATTTTGAATGTGACAGCCACATGGTACACATGCTCGCTCAGCGGCATCTACCACCCCCACTGGCTAGTGCAGTGAAGTCAGCATTGTTCGTGCATGTGCATTCTGGTCCATTCTCCTTGGCTGCCAGGTTATATCTATGCCACGCAAACCTTTTGTTATACTAACAATGGCTGGACTTTTTCTGGACAGACTTTGTTATATGTAGTAGGCAACCTCTATAGTCAGACACGTGGGCCTTAAATACGAAATTTTCCATCCTTTTGGTAAGTATATAAATTGTAACAACATAATTTTAACAATAATTGTATCTTTTTCCATCAGTGTCCATAATAATAAGGGGCATGGAGACAGCTTGTATCTATACTTCTTAAGTAGGCAAGTACATAAATCTGGTAGGAAGATTTCAGGTTCTCCCTATCTTTTAGGAGAAGTCCAGAGTTCATATTAACAATGATATAAAAGTCATTTTTATTTCACTTCTCTCCATTTGATGAAGATAAAAATAACTGATAAAATCCCAGAAAGACAGATCCAGAATATATACTTTTCTCTAACTGCAGAGTTGGCTCCACGAAAAAAACGAGTAAGATCTCAAACTGATATAAGATACCTAATACTTGACATTCTGAGTGTTTTTTAAAGAACATAAGTGACATGTGTATAATCTAGATTTCACTTCTCCCAGGAAGGGGATGGTCTGGAAAACAAGTGACAAGAAGCAAACATCTAATATATCCCCGTTCTTCGCTATCTATTCTCTTCAGAGGTTAAAAATGTTCTTAATCAAATATTCTTTAGGTAATCACAAATAACTGTCTTCCTTCCTTAAAAGAACTTTACCATTATATGTTGATTCTCAACTTTGAAATGTTTAAGGCAGTCTACTTAAAAATATCAAAGCCTTTCCCTTCCCTTCAGCTAGATCAATTGTGCTAAATGTTATAGCTGTTTTTAAAAGAAAGGTTTTGGGTTTTTCTATTTCCACTCCTCCCTTTGTTCAGTTGCGGTTTACAGAACCAGAGGGCCCTGCCACAGCACCTAAGCAAACAGATGCAACAGACGCCAGGATCAGGTGTGGAACTTCTGGCCTTTTCCTCTCCACCTTTCCTCTCTTTGCCAAGGAAATGCCTAGCACGTCTTTCAAATTACTGCAAAATGCAACTGAGGTAAAGAGGCCACCACCTTAAATAACACCAGAGTAAAACTGTTTTTACTCTGCTTTGGTTAAAGAGTGCAAATGGTAATATGTTAGTACAAGTTCATAAGCAGTGTCCCTTAAATTATATATATCAGTTAAAAAGGAAATTCTGTTAGTCACTCTGCAATAAATTACAGTTTGATGAAAAATTACTTAGCTAATAATAGTTTATAATGTTATTTAGGAACTAAAATTTTGAAAAAGTTTAAAATTTTCTGTTTCTTCTAAACATAATTATTTTCTTAAATTTTGATACATATTTTTGTCCCTTCTTTCACTCCTATACTTTTATTACATAAAATAGGGTAATAAATAACTTTTACACAACATGAAAAGTTTGTGGTGCCTTACACAAAAACAACAGTGAGTGTGTAATGGAATTCAATTTAGAAAAGAGGCTACTCTTTCTTATTTTTTGGATTATAATGCACGTCCCCTTCCCCTCCCCACCCCCGCAAATCTGGGAGGAACAGTGGTTGTTAATGCTGCTGTTGAGTTCTGTTTACATTTACATTGGTGAAATATTATGTTATTTATATTATTAAATATTTAACCACATTTTTTGCTTCCAAATTTTTTTCCAATTTTCCTCCTCTAAAACCTAGGTGTGTCTTATGATCTGAAAATACGGTAATCACACTCAAATTGCAAAGAATTAGATATGTAAAGATTATGCATGTGTTTTCTCTTAACTTGCAGAAATACAATTGGACTAGAGAGAAAACATCTAAAAATAACTGCAGCAGAATTATAAAATGTGTATAAACATCACATAGTAAAAACAGAATGTTAAACATTTGTCATCTCCTAGTGAGGAGACGTGAGAATCTCAACACTGAATAGAGAAAAAAATGTTCAGAGCCTATGACAAGGCAGATAGTGAAATTAAGACTGGCTTTTTTCTAAGTTTGTTTCAAAAATAAAAGTGGGAAGTGCAACTGTCATATTTTAAAAGGCTATTTATTGTGAAGATTATAGGCCAGGTTTTAGTTATTAGTAAATTAATCACACAGATTCTCACATCCCCTGAGAATGACGTTTGGCTCCAAACACACGTTGAGCTCAGCACTCTAGAACATGACTCCAGGAGATTCTGTTTTCGAAGAGAGTGTACCACAAGCACAGTCAATTCTGCTTTAATCAAGGACACGGACACATCCAGGACAGACCTCAGGCCACCACTGCCTGTGCTGGTCACACAAGCACAGCAGTGAAGTGTCCACTCCTCACCCCTTCCAAAGAACACATTTGTTTATTATCTTTCATTCCAAGAAGACTGTCTTAAAACCTGAGAAAACAGATCAAAGAGGCAGCTGGAAGTCTTTTCAACATTCCATTCTACTATATAAGCAGAAAACAATGTTGTCTGATGTTAATAACAATAAAAAGACACACAAACCCTACATCAATGATTTACAAGGCCCCTGGAAGGTACTTGGCATTGCTAAGACAATTCAATATATGGTCTAGTCTACTGATTCTCTGACCCTTCTCCTTTGCTTGCTTCTCTTCATTTGCTCATCCCTTAAATGCTTGAGTTTCCTAAAGGCTCAGTCTCTCCTTTTTGCCTTTCTTTAACCTAACTATTTGGTAATCAACATTTCAACGATGAACTATAAATGCTGCTTCCAAAACTGTCTTCTTTTTCTTAAGCACCAAACACACCTACCCACCTACCCAGAGGTCCTGCAGGTACTTCAAGTGCAACACACCCACACCAGAACCCGCTGTCTTTCTTCCATCACCTGCTTTCTTTCTTTTCTTTTACTCACACAGAACATTGACTCAGCATCCCAAGTTATAAACTTCAGACTTCACATATAAATGAACACTGAATATTTTAAATCTAACCTTCACACTCCAGTCCAAATGAACTTTTCAAACACAGATCTGAATGTGCCATTCCTTTGCTTTAAAAAAAAAAGCTGCAACACAATGTCACCTTCCTGTTATGGTATCCAAGATCAGTTTGCTTTCCCATCTTTAAACACTTCTCTCCTGCCCTGCTCTCCACAGACACACAGGAGCTCCACAATACGCATCACTTACTCGCATTCCCAAGTACAGTCCTCCCTCAGTACCTGCAGGGGGACAGGTTCCAGAACCCCTGGCCCATGCCAAAATCTACGGATGTTCAATTCCCTTTTATAAAATGGCATAGTATTTCCACATCCTCCCATATACTTTAAATCATCTCTAAATTACTTATAACACCTAACACAATACACTGTAAATACTATATAAATTGTCGCAATGCTGTAATGTTTAAGGACCAATTTTCTGCAATTAAAAAAAATTTTTTTTTCAATGCAAAGTTGCTTGAATCCACAGTTGCAAAATCCATGGGTATGAAAGGCCGATTGTGTCCCATCCACTCATTCAGTCCATATCGACTGAGTATCTCCTACGTAACAGGCACTCTTCTAAGCCCTCGGGATACTGCAGTGAACAAAACAGAGTTTCTGCCCTCACTGACTTACATCCTGGTGGCAGAAGACAGAGGGAAACAAACACACAATGGATGAGGTGGTGGTAAGTGCTATGGAGAAAAAGATCTACCTAGAAAAGCAACTCGGACCAACACGGCAAAGGGCGATTCCGTACACTACAGAAATCCAGCATGTCTTTAAAGGCACGATCATACTTCCATGTCCCTTAATTCATTATGTTTCAATTTAAAAACACAACACCATAAACAATACTGAAATGTGTAGTCACTGAGAGGCATAACAGAATAGCTCAATTATAATAATTTTATTTCTTGAGATTTAAGTTGATAGAATCAAGAGTGGTTTTTTTTTTTTTGATTCTAGCATTTTAGTGGCTCCTGGATGCACCCCAAAAAGTGCTGGCACGTTTCAAATGATGTCATGAGATTAGGATCCATAAAACTTAAGTACTCATCTAGAACTAGTCTATTGTTATTTCTATATTGTCTCTAACTACACCGTGGCTTCAAATGTGAGGCCCACAATTAAACTCCACAGTAATGCTGGAACATTAGAGACAGAAGTGTTTTACTGGTGATTTAAAAACAGTTGTTCGACTGTCTGAACCATTTAAGTGCTTCATATGTCTCAAATATATACAAAGAGCCGAAACAACTGGAGGGCCTGCATAAGAGTACTGTTTAAGACACAGAGTATTACTGAAGAATTTGACAATGAGCCAAAGAAAATTTGCACAGGCATTAATTGGCCTGTTTCATACGCAGAAAATAACAATGAATAATACCATCTAAATAATAATACATATTTGAAAAGACTTTAAAGGAATTCAGATTATACTCTGGGAATCTTCACTATTATTATATTATTATAACATGTCCAGTCTTAGGATATAAATGAATGAATAAATAAATGTAGTGCAAATGTTAATCTGTAAAGAAAATTAAAGGGGCTTTTTGTTTCATATGTGTAAGTTAAATCTAAAATGTGTTGAACTTCCAAATAACTAAAGAGAAATTAAGTCATTGGGATGGAGAAAAAAAGTAGCTACCACTGAAGGATATGGACCAGGGCTCGAGTTCTGTTTAAAAACCAAAACAAAAGGCACCCAACAGGTGAACTTCGCTCCACCCGCAGAGCTGGGGGGGAAAGAAGAGGATACATACTGCATCCGTGATGTCTATCTCGTACACCCTCTGGAAAGTCCTGCGCTCGAAGAACACGAGTTTGCCGCTGCCACATCCCCTTTGAACAGATGTGCCGGTGACTATGAGCTTATCATCTGGACTAAAACAGCAGTCGGTCCTGCAGACAGAAAGAGTGTGTGAGGATAGGCTTGTGGCCCCACAAGACAGTAGCAACAATAAGTGAGTTACATAAAACATGAACAACATCACTGTAATGAGAGGTAACTCTTAAGTGGGACTTGTGAGTCGAGCACTTAAATTAATTCACTTAATCTTCACAATAATCCTGGGAGGTAGCTATTAGTATCCCCATTTTACTGATGAGGAAACTGAGGCAGAAGGAGATTAAGTAAACCTTGTCCAAGATCACAAAAGAGAGCAGTGCGGCGGGGACTCAAACGTAGGCAGCCTGGTTCCGGAATCTGTGCTTCTCGCTCCCACACACCCGAAGGCTTTTCAGTGCCAGGAGCGTGGGAAGACGCCACACAGACAGCGACAGCGTCTACGAACACACAGATGCTGTGTGACTAATGTCGAAGAGGTGATTGCTTTAACCAGCTTTGGAACCATTTTTTACTGCCACCGCCGCTCAAATAATTTGAGTTGTGTAGAGTCAAACACCATGAAATGAGGAGCAGGCCACACTGCCGGATCTGAACTGGTGGATAAGTTATGTAGTGAGCGTTACTTGAGGCCGACAGAAGAGCTCAAGAAACTCTCATCAGCTGTGAATTCAGGTGTGCCCATCGGTTTGCCCTGGCAGGCCAGCGCCGTGGGCAGCAGGCCATGTTCAGGGCAGCGCTGTCACTGCACAGCCCCCCGCCACCCGATGCCCCCCGACCTCCACCTTCTCCTTGCTGTTGGTCACCAGTGAACACAGAAGTGAAATCTCATTTCCACAAAAACAGAAAATGTGGCTTAGGCACCAACTGCAGGGTACAGATGCCAAGCTCCACCTCAGCTGCCTCAGGAAAAAAATCTATAAATGCTTCACTCGTCAGCTTAAAACGACGGAGAAAACAGTGCTCCCAGAGCAAGACAGCGTGAGTGAATGGAGGTGACTGAATTCCTGACTGGAAAGATGATTAAAACAATTAACGAGATGATATGTAATAATGCTGCAAACTATAAAATATCACTTTGATGGTAAAGGGTTCAAATTGTAAAAGACAACAAAAATGTAAGCCTACCCTGTCATTCACACAATATTAAAAGAACATATCAGTCCCTTAAAGTATTTTTATTGCCCCAAGACTTATGCGTGCATCCAAAATACATATGGGGACTGTCTAGAAAGTATCCAGACATATGCTATGAAAAACAGAGGCATTTATCGAAGACGATAACAAGATATAAGAAACACTGTACACAGGACAATGACCCCTCAGTCCCCTTCAAAACAGGCACCTTGGGACCTCACACAGTGCTCCCTATTGCCATCACTTGCCACTACTCATATTTGTGAGTAGTATTTGCTCTATTTACCTGAATAGGCAGTCGTTATTGCCTGAATCTCATTCAGGAAAGGAATAAGATTCATTCCCTTTCAAAGATGATTAGTTCTGGAAAACACCAAAAGTCACAGGGCACCAAATCTGGGCTGTAGGGGTCTGAGTCATCTGAGTGATTTGATTTTTTCCAGAAAACTCTGCACGAGGTACATGAGCTGGTACATGGTCATGATGAAGCTACCAAACACAGTTTCCCATAGCTGCGGCCTTCTGAATCGTCCAAACAGGGTCCACAGAGGAATGTTCAAGCTTAAGGCAAAATCTGATGCAGATTCTTTGCTCTACTTGCTCAGTCATTTTGAATGTGGTGGCCACACAGTACACATGCTCACTCAATGGTGCCTACCCCCCGCCCCCACTGACTAGTGCAGTGAAGTTGTCATTGTTCACATATCAGCATTCCAGTTCACTCTCCTTGGCTGCCAGCTTACATCGATGTGGTGCAAACCGTTCGCTAACAATGGGTGGACTTTTCCTGGACAGACCTCACATGTGTGTGTGTGTGTCTGTGTGTGTGTGCACAAAAACACATGAACATACAGCATTTCAACTTCAAAAAAAGTTTTAAAGTCTAAGAATGTGCAAAATAAAAAGGAAAAGTAAAATGTATTGTTCAAAAAACCCATTTCAAACACTCTTCAAATCCCTTTTCAAGAAGATCTAAAAGATGGATGATATAAATTAACACTGAGGTGAATAAATGTGTTTCTCATTCTCTTATGCTTATCCAATCCTAAAAATGTGCTACTTACATTGGGAACATGGTCGGAAGACCCGAAGCTGAAAACAGTGGCTTATTAAACTGTCGGATATCCCACAGCTTTAATGTATCATCACCTGATAGAGAAAAAAGAAAGAAAAAAAGACAAAGTGAATTGTGCAAAAAGACCTAGTTTCACGTTTGGAATTTGCTAAACTTAGCATACAAGGGATTCCCAAAAAACTGGAATTATCTTCTGCAGGGTAGGCCCCTTGCTAGGTGAGTATTCTAGAAACCCATCTGTATCAGTGCACCAGCTGGTGTCATTGTGAGAGGAGGCATTTACCTTCAATGAATTTTTTTTTGAAGACTCTTTCATCAGTGTGTTTGCCCGTTTCATGATGGGTGATTTGTAAGTGCACCTGCCCACACCAAGCTGAGTGTTCAGCAGTTTTTTGACCCAAAACAGCATGATCCCCGTGCCCAACTTTCCCTGTTCACCTGATCTCACCCCCGGTGACTTATTTTTCTGTTTCCACAGATGAAAAAAGTCCTCAATGGGAACTGTTTTGCTGATGTGGAAGAGGTGAAACAAAAAATGACAGAAGAACTAAAAGGCATCAAAATTGATGCGTTCGAAAACTGTTTTGGCAATGAGGAAAAAAGTCTTGATAGGTGTATTACAGCAAATGGAGAGTACTCTGAAGGTGACTGAGTTTAAACATGTAAGAATAAATACACAATTTTGTGTAAATAAATTCCATTTTGGGGTTCCCTCCATGCAACCACCAGAAAGGAGATGAAGGGGGAAAGGAGCTGCCCACAGGCAGGTTTTACATTTTTTTAACTGTTTGGGGAGCTTGAAAGCATTATCCGGGAGAGCAGTAGAAGGTATATAAACAACGAACTGGTCTTCCAGAGACTACTTTCCAGACTGAGGCAGCATCCGCAGGTAGAAGGAGGCCGAGAGAATCGACTCCAGAGTGGTTGGAGAGCAGGTGGGAGCTCCCCTGTGGCCGACTTGAGCACAACCTGACTTTTTAGGAAGACATTCATTTAACAGCCGTCACGACTGAAAGTAGCTCAATTCAGAATGAATTCTCTCCCCCTGGAGTGTGTCTGTGAAGCTGTCCACTAAGGTCAACGAGGGTGAGCCGCAGGGTCCCCGCCCCTCCAGTTTCACTGTCTCTGTGGCTGTCCCTCTTCACTTTGCTGGGCAGTACGACTGTTCCAAGCTTGTTCGAGTATCATGAATATTCTTTTAAGAATCACTTCTTTACACTTCTGTAGGACTACTAACTAATTCCTGACCATAACGAAAGCCAAAACTCCTATCAGAACGTCTTCGCTGTTTTCTCCCCAGCGTCCGCAGCTGAGACCTGCCTCAACCCCTCGGGTCCACTAAGGAAAAGCAGCAGGTGCAACTGGGGTGAGTGGAGAGTTCAGCAGAAACCCCACTCTCCCCAGTGACCCTGCCTCTGAGACCCAGCTCGGGCAGGTGCACTGGTCCATAGCGGGCTGGACGAGGGACCTACTCGTATGGGAAGAACTTTGTAAGACTCACCTTTTTGCTCTAGTCTTTAAAAAAGGTTACATATCCTCCCTCACAATTCTCAACCAGTAAGAAAACACTAATCTCCAGTAAACAGTTTGGCTAACTTGGTGGGTTCTGGAGCTAGCAGAGCACCTCACGACATCCTGGGGACTCTGCTGAATAGACTCCCTCTGCCGCACTCTACACACCCAGGAAGGAAAACAACGGGACACGGTACATGTGCTGAGTTGATGGCTGACTCCTTACCCGGGAGCTGCTACAGGGTGGAAGGGGAAGGTACGAATCATCAGCCGGATGACTGACTGAAATGGAATCCGTCCTGTACTCCTAAGGGACTGATTATCCATGGGGGGCGGCCGAGGTGCGGGAGGCTGGCCTCTTTGAGGATCCTCTGGGAAGAATTTTCAAACGATCCCCTCTTACTCCCTTCTCCTCTCCCATCTCTGCCTTGGAGAACTGGGCATACATACCATGCTAAAGACCCAAGACTGAATGTGAGGATTTCTCAGTAGAGCATTTATCATTTGAAAAACTTTCCCAGGGGGTTCAGAGACAACCCTCCCTGGCCCTGCCTGGGTAAGAACCACTGTGTGTAAGTAAAAGTATATACAGTCTTAATTAAGAATCATCTTAGGACCAAAATACATATTTTGTACATATTCACCTTTGCCATGTGCACCATAAATAGGAAATACAGGTACATGTGCTACAGTTTAGTTTAATTATGCAAACGAGAGCCGTCCCCTTTGGACAGAGACTCTGAATGGAGTTCCGGAGGGTCAAGGCCCTGGACTGGTTCAGTGGCGGGGAAAGCGGTGGCCCGTCTCACCACGTCCTCCTCACCCCCTCCACCCTCCAAACCAGGCTGATGGCTCTCCAGGGAAGGAGCCTGGTCTCTGATGCTCACAGTGTATACCCATCACAACGCTGCTTTAGAGCAGCGCTCAATATGTAGTAGCTGAGTAAGGGAATGAATGACCACATATGGTGTGGCGAGATTCATTTGGCCTGCAGAACAAAGACGAAATCCTTTATGTGGTATTTAAGGCCGTCTATAATACGGCTCCAGCCTCCTCACCTGCTATTTCCTTTTTGTCCCCACAAATGGACCTACCTAAAGGTCCTGGGTGGCCTCCCATACGTCCCCACAATGCTTTGCCCCTGAGCTGCCCTCCCCAGTCTCTCATTTCTTTCTGTCAACACACAGCTGACCCATGTGAGAAAGATTCAGGAAGCCACTAGGAATAACCTCTATTCCACTATATGAGTGTGGTAAGTAACCTTACAATACGATCACAAAGAACTATGTAACCATAGAAAACTAACATCCAGGCATACAGCTTTTTAAAAAAACTGAATTGAGTTAGTGCTTGAATTAGGAAAAAAAAATCAATGGTCAGCAAATAGAAGACTTTGAAATACCGGACGTGAAATTATAAAATGGTATAAAAATACAGACTGTCATCTACAAAGTTCCATTAGGAAGAGACAAAGTCATAATTGGAGGCTTCAATCTCAGATGGAATTTGACGCTAAAATAAAAACTTAGGCACAAAAGTACAGATTTTCTAAGTTTTACCTGATACCTTTTAAAAAAGGAATATTGCCAAGGTTGGGCATGCATTTTAATGAAAAAAGATCAGACCAGTAAAGGTGCCTTAGCCAAAGCACAGCTAGCTTTACAAAGTGCTAGGATATCAGAGCAACATCCGTCAGTGTTAAATACGATCCTTTCACAAGTAGAAACACATCAAGAAGGAGGTTTCTAACCTACCTCCACGAGTGGCAAGGACGTTGCCATCGTAGGAGAAAGTCACGCAGGAAGTGTCTGTGCCGGGGTCGTGAGCCTGCTTGTAGTGGAATTTCGGGTGGACCTGTTCGAGGAGAGAAGCAAAGGGTTACCATCTCCTCTGAATTCAGATGCGAGCATTTTTGCGGCAAGAATGTTTCACTTTGTCATCCAGAAAGTGATATACATTTATCTACATGTAAAATATTAATTTGACCTGATTGTGGTTTTCATTATTCTGGGGGGAAAAGTTTTAAAGGCTCTTAAAAATATCCAGTTGCTTTAACAAGAGACATAAAAGAGATAAGGTGAGTCTTACGAGAAGATAGGTCCTGGACTGCCCTGGTAAGCTCTGAGCAGCTCAAGATCACCACGGCATTTAGTTTCTCCTGCTGTACCAACGAAGTATGTCACACAACGATCGGAGCCACTTCCTATGGCTATCTGAGAGGGTAAATATGAATAAAAACCACACCGGGGCATTACTCACTGAGTCAGAGACGCCCTGCATGCCCAGCACACAGACGCTGCGCACACGGTCGCAGGGCCCGAACCACTGGTGACGTGCCCGTAGGGTGGTCGTGGTCGTGGTCACGGGGATGATGGGACCCGATGGTGACGGCTAACCCCTTCACAATGCTGGGTACATCCTCGGCACCGTATCCTCCAGTCTTGCCTATTTCATCTCACCATCGCTCTAAGTGGCAGGTTCTACCACTGCCATCTCCATTTCACCAAAGCACAGAGACTTGCGCACCTTGCCCAGGGCCACACAGCTAGTGAGCAGCAGAGCTGGGAGCGTGAAGCAAAGGGCCTGCTCTCAAACACCGCATCACCCTCCTCTACCAACGGGTGTTAACAGTCTTTTTAATTCCAGTGTCGCTTGCGCACAGTTAAGGACTTATAAAAAGTAACTCTGCTACACTGGCTCTTGCCACTCAGTTATGAGTCAGTGACCGGCACAGGCCAGGGTCCTAGGGAGTCAGTTACCCCAGCTGCACCAGGCAGGCGATCTCCACAGTGAGCACACAGGACATTGCTAACGATGAAAACACGCAGGTCTCTCCCCTGGAGTCCCAGGTAGAACACAGGCCAGCCCTCTCCACTGGTCCCACGGAAACAAAGAACGACTCACAAAACAGCTCAGGCACATCAGCCTCCCAACATCACTGACTTCCCACCACAGAGCTTCCACTTAAAAGCATCCAGGAATGAGGAGTACACTACCTCGCAAACGCAGGCAGGCCCTTCTTTTAATCCTCAACCAAGGATGAGTCTTCACTGATTTTAGAGAGAGAAGGCAGGGGAAAGGAGAGAGAGAAAGAAAGAGAAACACTGACTGGCCAACCAGGGATCAAACCCACAACCCAGGTATGAGGGTGAATCCCCCAAAAACCTGGAATTTATTTTAAAAATTGTATATTTATTTTTACGTGTTTAACCTTCAGTCACGTTCAAAGTACTCTCCATTTGATGCAATATACCTATTGAGACTTTCCACTGCTCAAAACTGTTTTTGAACTTGTCCATTTAGATGCCTTTTAGTGCTTCTATCGTTTTTTGTTTGTTTGTTTGTTTGTTTGTTTGACCTCTTCTCATTGGCAAAACATTTCCCTTGGAGGACTTTTCTAGTCTGGGGGAAGAAACTGTTCAGGGAAAGAACTCATGAATAGGGAGGTGGGGCAGCAAGGTCAGGCTGTTTTTGATCAAAAACTGCCAAACACTCAGTGTGGTGTGGGCAGGTACGCTCATAACTCACCCACCATGAAGTGGGCAAATGTGCTGAACAAATCTTCCAAAAAACTTCACTGAAGCTGAATGCAGCCTCTCACAACAATGCCAGCTGTACACTGATACAGCTGGGTTCCTAGAACACTCACCCAGTGAGGGAAGGCTGTACTAAGGGGCCCACTCTCAGAAGATAGTTCCATTTGTTTGGGGGGGGGGGTCCCTCCTTGTATGTGCCCTGACCAGGGATTGAGCCCACAACCTTTCGGTGTGCAGGATGACATTCCAACCAATGGAGCTACACAGCCAGGGCTGTTTGTTTGTCTTAAATAATTTGTCCATATTGAGTTAAAATTGTCCTCTTTCTTCCTCTGGGTCACACTTTTAGAAATTCGTATCAAAAACTATTATTATGCTTCTGCCTTTCACAGGTACAATGAATTCACTGATTCACCCTTTTTAAAGAAATTAGCCACCAACTGCATGGCAGACACGAAGCTCAGCAGAGAAATAGATACGCCCAGACAAACATGCCTTCTCCCCACAGAGCTGACTGACAGTCCCCTGAAAGGATATGGATGAGCATACAAAGTGACAAGTGGTCACTTAGACAAAGTGACAGTGGGGAAATACAAAGAAATCCCTGAGCATTGAAGAGAGGTTCCAAACCCCAACTTGAGAACAGGGGGCAAACGGGGGCAAAAGGAAATCAGAGACCCAGTGGATAAAGTAAGAGCTGGCAGGCAAAGAAGCAAGACACAGGGACAAGAAAGACTATTCCCGACGCTGAGTACTGCATCATGGCAGGCAGCGCTTTGACCCCCACACCCTCTGGCCCCTGGTGTAAAGCCCATGAATAGGGTACTGGAGACGTGACAAAGGGGGGTTCTGCAGGTATAATCAAGGTTACTAATTAGTTGACCTTAAACAGGGAGGTTTATCCTGGAGTAACCAGGCAGGAGTGAGCCCTTAGAAGAGCTTCCTGCTGGCTGAGGACAGAGAGGAAGCCAAGGAGAGGAGTACATCAGAAAAACTCAGAGTCGGGAAGTGTCTGACACGCCAGCGTGGACTTAAAGATGTGTCAAGGAACTGAGAGATCTTGATCCGGCCAACAACCAGTGAGTCTGAAAGAGGATCCCGCCCCCAAACGAGAGCCACAGCCCGGACCAACGCTGGGATTTCAGCCTGATGATACCCTAAGAAGAGAAATGAACCACACCATGCCAGATTCTTATCTACAGAAACTTTAAAATAACAAACTAGTATTTTTTAAGTCACTAAATTTGTGGTGATTTGTTAAAAATGGGAAACTAACACATGCCTGTTGAAAGACCCTAAGACAAAAGGGCTGGTTGCATTCAAAGAACTCAGAGGTCAACACCAGCCAGACAGAAAGGAGAGGCCAGGAGAGGATGTACAGCTCAGACCACCAGGGGCCTCACAGGCCAGGTTAAGGGCTTGGATTCCATCCCAAAGGCAAAGGGGAGCTGCGAAGGAGTTTTCCCACTACAGTAACTGCACACACACGTGGAGAACAGGTTGGAAACCTTTTGTTCCTTGGACAAACAAAACTCTGCTACCAACCTCAGTAACAAAAATTTGCCACCTCATTATATTTCATCAAAGTCATAAACTACCAAAATCTAAAAAAAAAGCTTTTGGAAGTCATCACCACAGCATCAGTGCCAAAAGGTCCTGTACTTAAATTTGGCTGCTCAGTGAAATCAACTCTGTTTTTGTACATTTGTTTTCAATGTTTTGTTTTTAACGCTAGTAAGTACAAATCCACATCTAAACAGAAGGAAGACCCACATTTTGGGAGTGGTAAGGCAATGTGGTATAATAAAAAGAGCACTGGGCCCTGAGCTCCGGCCGGTGTGGCTCAGTGGGCTGGGTGTTGTCCTGCAAACTGAAAAGTCCCCGCTTTGATTCCTGGTCAGGGCACACGCCTGGGCTGCCAGCCAGGACCAGGCCAGGACCCACCGCCCACCCCTCGAGGGCACGTGACAGGCAACCAATCGATGTTTGTCTCTCACATCAACGTTTCTCTCCTTCTCTTTCCCCCTCCCTTCCCCTCTCTCTAAAATAAATAAATAAATAAAATCTTTTTTAAAAAGGACCACTGGGTGAGGGACAGGAGATATGAAAACCCACACTTAATTCAGTCAAAAACTAGCAAGGGTGACCAGGGACAAATTATTTAACCTTTCCAGATCATAATTCAGCCTGCTATTAACCAAGTGATTGAGCTGGATGATTTCTAAGGTCACTTACCACAATAGGATTCTTTTTTTAAAAATATATTTTATTGATTATGCCATTACAGTTGTTCTACTTCCCCCCTTCATTCCCCTCCACCCTGCATACCCCTCCCCCAACATTCCCCCCTTTAGTTTATGACCACGTGTCTCAAGTTCTTTAAATTCTGTATTTCCCCTACTATTCTTGCCCTCCTCCCTATTTTCTACCTACCGTCTATGCTACTTATTTTCTGTACCTTCTCCCCCCTTCTCCTTCTCCCACGCCCCTGTTGCTAACCCTCCATGTGATCTTCATTTCTATGGTTCTGCTCCTGATCTAGCTGTCCTCTTAGTTTGCTTTTGTTTTAGGTGTGGTTGTTAATAACCGTGAGTTTGCTGTCCTTTCACTGTTCATCTTTTTTATCTCCTTTTTCTTAGATAAGTAAGTCCCTTTAACATTTCATATAATAAGGGCTTGGTGATGATGAACTCCTTGAATTTGATCTTATCTGAGAAGCACTTTATCTGTCCTTCCATTCTAAATGAAAGCTTTGCTCTCATCCAAGAGCAATCTTGGATGTAGGTCTTTGGATTTCATGACTTGGAATACTTCTTTCCAGCCCCTTCTTGCCTATAAGGTCTCTTTTGAGAAATCAGCTGACAGTCTGATGGGAACCGCTTTGTAGGTGACTGTCCCCTTATCTCTTGCTGCTTGTAGGATTCTCTCCTTCATTTGAATCTTGGCTAACGTAATGATGATGTGCCTTGGTGTGTTCCTTCTTGGGTCCAGCTTCTTTGGGACTCTCTGAGCTTCCTGGATTTCCTGGAAGTCTATTTCCTTTGCCAGATTGCGGAAGTTCTCCTTTATTATTTGTTCCAATAAGTGTTCCACTTGTGGCTGTTCCTCTTCCCCTTCTGGTACCCCTATAATTCATATGTTGGAGCGTTTAAAGATGTGCTGAAGGTTCCTAAGCCTCTCCTCCTTTTTTTGAATTCTTGTTTCTTCATCCTTTTCTGTTTGGTCATTTTTTCCTCCTTCTGATCTACCCCTTTGATTTGAAACCCAGTTTCCTTTCCATTACTATTGTTTTCCTGTGCATTTCCCTTCATTTTAATT